TGCACTGCCGCCCCCCAGGCCGCCATATTGGGAAGAGGCCCAAGCGCCACGGAGAGGCCCCGTGTGGACGTCCCAGTTGACCTGGCTGGGCCCAGCCCTCCCGTCCGCCCGGCCCAGGCCCCAGACACGTGAACGAAAAACCCTCCGGGTGACTCCCCTCCCAGGCCCTCAAGTCACCCTCAGCCAAGACCCCGGACGCCGTGGAGCACAGAGAAGCTAACACCCTCGTACCATGTCTAAATTCCGACCTGCGAAATCCGAGACGAACACAAAGTGGATTTTTTTCTACCCTGCTGAGTTTGGGGATAGTTTGTAACCCAGAAAGAGGCGGCTGAGCCCTCCCCATGCCCCATCGCCGGAAGACTCCATCCAAACTGAGACGCAGCCCGGTGGTGACGGGACTCCTGAGATGTCCACGTTGGATTCTAAGAACTCCGAGCACCCGTGGGCGCTGCTCACCCACACACACTGCAAGGTACAGCATCGGATCAAATAAGGCTGGCAAATGCTAGATTAAAATGAGTTTCCTGCCGAGAGAGAGACCTTTCCATAGACCGAGGAACAATGTGCATGTCCAGGAGGAAGACCGAGATTACGTGTGCCCCGTGGGTCAGGGTATTTGGGGTGTTTCCCTCCTGCCTGCAGCACCAGCAGCCAGATTTTCCACCCCCACGCCCCACTCTCAGCCCACTGAGTTGTTAAAACTGCAGTCATTAATTATAGATCATTCTTCGGAAAAGAATTTCTAAATAAATTTCTGAGTAATTGGGTTGCAGAACTTTCTGTTATGCAGAGTCTGAATCACTCGCACACATAATTTCTTCCTGATTCCCACAGTCGCTTCTTTGTGGGGAGGAAGGGTCCCGGTGGCACACATGGACGGCTGCCCGGCCAGCCCCTTTCATGAGGATTTTCCCAGGGTTCCCGGGGGGCCCCTCGGACCCCGCGGGTGCCTGACCCGGGGGTCGTGGTCATCCACAGCCATCTGGACGTTACGATGGAAAACAACGTTGCACCCCAGATAGTTTCTCCAAAGTTATCGAACATGAGCGGCCACCACTCAGAGAGGGGTTGTGGAAATACAGGAATTCCCTAAAATGGTTTTTCAAACACAAAGAGCGAGGGAGTCTCGTTTCATCAGAGCGTCTCATGAAGAGCTTCCCTTCGGGGCCCAAGAAGCTACTGTCCGGTGGAGGGGCAACAGCTCAAAAGCCAGCTCACATCCGGGGTGCTGACGACGTTCTCTAGAACCCCCAGTTACCACTGAAGCGCCCCGCCCGCACTCTCTCCCCTGCCAGTGACAACGCGCTGCGCTCCCCTCCTGTCCCTCCACCGAGGCTGCTGCAAGACGTCGAGCAGGAGGATTTGTCACCTGCCTGCACAGGCTGCTGGACTCTGGGGAGACGGAGGCCACACCCCGTCCCCACACTTGGCCCTGAATCCGCAGGACAGAGAAGAGCTCGCTTACAGACAAAATTCCCGCCTGCCGCGCCTGAGCGGGACGTCGTGCACGCCGCGCCTGAGCGGGACGTCGTGCACGCTCCAGGACAGCAGCACCACCTTGTCATGGAGCCTCTCACGCTAAGCCGTCCCCCCAGGACACAGAGGGCTCACAGTCAGCCCATCGCACGGGCCTGTGCCTCAGTTTCCCCATCTGCAAGCTGAGACCAAGAACGGGCCCCCGTCTCACTGGGACGCGAACGAGGACAGGGAGAGAGACCAGGCATCGCTTGCAGACGGGGAATGCCGGGCGAACCTCCCTCCGCTTGGGCTGGCCTCCCTGCCACGGACGGGCTTTGCTCCGGGCGGTTCAGCGGGAATGTCCCAAGCTCCGTGATTCTGGGGCGATTTCGTCCTCACTGTAGCCCCGGGGGGCTAGCACAGCGAGCACGTGCCGGGACGGAAGGAGACACACACCCCAGCCACGAGTGGCCGCCCCGGCCAGGGGGGAGCCCCCTACAAAGCCCTTCCAGAAGCAACCAGAAGAATCACCTGCTGCTGGCAGGAACCCCCACTCCCCGCACCCTTGTGCGCACACACGCGGCGGCTCGAGGAACCCCAGACGGGCCTCCGCTTGCAACGAGAACGCAGCGCCCCGGCCACCTTCTCCAGGGAGTTCCCCACGGTCAGTCTCCGTCCCCTTCTGCCGTTGTTTTGGGGGGACGCGTTTAGATGAAAAGCAATCTTTCAAGTGCTATCAGAGGGCTGTTCTAATTCCGAGGACCGGATTGATACAGCACATCGGGGTGCCGACGCCCCGCCGGAAGAACCCAGAACCTGGTGAACATTATAAAATGTCTTAACGGTGACTGAAAACACACAGAGCACACGCATCAGCTTTTTGGAAAAGAGCATTTTATTGTCATGAAGAATAAAAGAGATCGATATGTTTTTTTCTTAATGGATACAAAAATAAATACTCATTCAGCATATAAAAGACACGCGCTTCCACATTCACTTGCGCTGGGATAAGGCAGCCGGCTGTCGGCTGGCAAACACCGCAGGCGGACAGGACTGCTGTCCTTAATTAATTAACTGATCCTTCTTTTTTGTTTTTTTGAGACAGAGTCTCGCTTTGTTGCCCAGGCTAAAGTGAGTGCTGTGGCGTCAGCCTCGCTCACAGCAACCTCAGACTCCTGGGCTCCAGCGATCCTCCTGCCTCAGCCTCCCGAGTAGCTGGGACTACAGGCGAAAAACCCATGCAATACTCGCAAATATATGAGACTCTGCATGGTTTCTGAGAGTCCCAGACAAGGGAAGATGCTCAGAGGTGACAAGAAGCCCACCCCCCGTAGCACAGGTCTCGCCAGGCCCTGGCTCCGCAGCCAGGTGGAAACCCCCATCCCTGGCTGCCTCTTCTCCAGCCAAGTGAGAACTGGCCCGACACAAGCACGGAGACTGGCCCGGGGCCCGGCGCCGCCGCTCTCACCTGCACCAGGATGAGCTTGGAGCGCAAGGCGCATGTCCGGAAACCTCCTCCCGAAGCACAGCACCGCCCTGCCGTCGGGCACCCCTGGCTGCCGTAGAACTGCTGAGCTCTGGAACGAGACGCGGCGGGTGTCTGCGAGCGAGGCCGAGGGGCCCCACTCCCCCTGCAGCAGAGCCGGGAGGGCGGGGCTCAGGGGGACCACGCAGGGTACCACGGGCCTCGGCCCAATCCAACTGGGACCTGGTGGCATGCCCAGGGAGTCGGTGGGTTTAACACCTACCGTGTTTCCCCCAAAATAAGACCTCCCTAAAAAGCCAGCAGGATGTCTAAGCATGTGCGCAATAGAACCCACCCGACGAATTAACTAGTGACGGGCGTCTGTCGCAGCGCGTCTGCACGCCTGAGTTCGTCACGGAGGCGGGAAAGTAGCGAGCAGCCTTCTCATCTGCCCAGAGAGCTCCTGTGCTCAACATGAGAGATCCGGGCCGAGGTTCTAAAGAAATAGAGTCCAAGACCATCAGTTGATGGAATTTGTGTTCGGAGACTGACGATGATGTTCAGAAGGAAGACAAGTATATTTGAATAAATGTAATGATGTAACTGTCCTTAACAAAAACAACAGCACATTCCCTGAAGTATAAGCCCTACGGTGTCCTTCCTTAGATAACAAATAGGAAGACCCTGTCTTGTTTCTGGGGAAACACGAAATTGATACTCTTTCGCAGGCACAGCCTCGCCCGACTCACCGCTCCCTCTGTCTCTCTCTATCTGCCTATTACTCCTGCCACGCCCTGAGGCCCTGAGTTCAGCCCGAGTGAACGCCCAGGAGGCCTGCAGCCCCCCCCACCTCCAACCCAGGCTCTCAAAGTGGAACGCGAGGCCGCAGCAGTCACCTCTCCTGTGAAGGCGAGAGAAGCGCACCTCTCGGGCCGGCCGAAACCCCGAGTCAGGAGCCGGGGAGGTCGATCTGCGCCGCGAGAGCCCTTCGCCGTTGCGCTCAGCCCTCCCCTGCCCCTCACCAGGCGGACCCCCGGGCTAGGGCCGCACCTGAACTACACCCTCACTGCACCTGCCCCTTCCAGAACCTCTCTGGGTGTCGCCCGCAGACGACAGCAGAGGAGCCTGGCTCTAGCTCGGCCCATGGGGAACAGGAGGATGGAGCAACAGCGTCGGCATACAGAGAGGTCAGGCTAACCCGAACCGCTCGGGTGGATGACAAAGGCTAAACGGGCAGCCTAACTTGTGCGCAGGTGTCACCCCCCAGCACTTTAGTGCGTACAAACCAGCGCAATCTCGGGACGCCAGCTCAAACCCCCAGGGACCCTGCCAAGATGCAGATTCCGGTCGCCCTGGCTGTGGCCAGGGCCTGAGAGCACATCCTAGGCGCGCCAGGGTCCAGGGACGGTCCCCAGAGCACGCTCACAGCTGCAGGGTGACGTTCCCTCATCCTACCAAGCCACGCGAGGAAGGTGCTGACTTGTGCCCCATCTTACGCACAGGAAGTCGAGCACAGGGTGTGCGCAGCAAATTGCAAGACAGGACCTAAGGGGGTCCCCACTACAGCCCCCCTGCACTGTCACCCCCCAGGCTGCAGACCGAACGGGACGGAGGCGTGCCTTAGCCGCCTTCCTCAAGAACTGGTGACGAAGACCTGCACCACCGTGTCCGCTCCAGCTGTTGGCACCACAAACAAAGCTCACCACGGAGAACCAACACACGCGGCTGGACAGCCGCTTGCGACACTGCGACCAGCACGCCCCACTACGCCCAGACCACCGCGTCACAACAGACACAGCTGCCCTTGCTGGTGCGCGCCGGCCGCCCTCCAGGCCTCGGCCGGCAGCTTGGCCGCAAGCGCAGGCGACTGGCCAGAAACCACACACCAGGTGGCTGCACAGCTTCCCCGTAGTGACACACACACATGGAGAAGGCTGCGGACGGGAGGGCGTCCAGTGCCTCCCAGGTCCCCCGGGGGCCTCACTTGCACATGTCTTCGATCTACCTCGGTGACACTCCTGGGACATCAAGGATTTCTTCTAGAAGTTATTCTATTATCTATTATCATAAAAAAAAAGATTCAAAGCTGTTTACAATAGGACATGTAAAAATAAGACGATTCAAAGTACAAATGTTTTTAAAAAACAGGTCAAAACCATTTAGAAAGAAGAAAAGAAAGCAGGATCTGGAACGGTTTAATTACAGAAATGGAAAAATAAATTTAGCTCAAAGCTTCCTCAGCGGGAAAGTCTTCAATGTCTGAAGGTGAAAAGGCGCCAGTTCACCTGGGCAGGAACACGCGGTTTCCCGGCACCAAAAAGTCTAGGAAGAACGTACTTTCTTCTAAGAAAAGTGTCGGTCTCACTCATTAAAGGGAGGCTTGCATCTAAATATCTTTAAATCTTATCAAGATGCTTAAAAGTAAAAAGATGCTTTGCATAGAATCAAGCATATGAAATCATAAATCTATAACTCTCTAAAAAAATGTATAAAAACAGTCCTGTTTTCACAAGTTGGTTTTAAACTCCAAATTCCTTTACCTGCAGCAGCTGTCTGCTGACAGCATGGAACAGCAAGTCTTTGGAAATGTCCATTTGCCCCAAATGCAGAAAGAAACAAAGCAACTAATGATAACTAGGGAGGGAAAAGGCAGGGAAAAAAAAAAACAAATCCGTAATCACGGGTTATAGTTATGGCATCCAGACCATTTGGCGTAAGTCTCCCACGTTTGCACCGGAACGGCGGAACGGTGGCGCGACTTTGTTTTCCACGCCGGCTCCTCCGCGAAGGCGGTCGCTGAGCCGAGAGCCGAGCACGGCGTCCCGCCCGGGGCAGAGGGGCCCGCGTCCGTGGGGAGCCACGGCTGTGACTGTCACCCAGAGGTGCGAGACGCTGGCGGGTGGGGGGCCCCGGAGAGACACTTAGACGGTGATCTGCTGGTTTTCTCTGAAAAAGGGTCTCTGGTGGGAGGCGCAGATATCCGGAAACATCCGGAAGACCTGGTCCGGCAGGGGCTCCTCGGGGGCTGGCATCACGGAGCCGGCGCCGCAGCTCTTCCCGGCTTCCTCCGCCAGCTGCCGGACGTACAGCTGCTCCACCTAGAGCGTTCGCGCACAGGGCGAGAGAGAGATGGGGTTCCGAGTGAGGTGGGGACCGTCCTTGACCCCAGCCCGCGTCTCTGACGGCCCCAGCCCAAAGCTATCATTCCAGAGGCTCCAACGTGGGCCCCAAACAAATGAACCTGGACTAGGCAGATGGAAAGGAGGGGCAGGTGGTTGTCCTGCACAGACTGCTATACGTATATACTCTCCCAATATCAGCCTGACTTTGCCAGCCCGTGCCCAGAATTCCACCATTAGAGTTTCATTCCTTTGACTACAATTCAACAAGGGCCTGCAACGCCCTAATGTGTCACTGAGACCCTAACTGAACAGGAATTATCTTTCTAGAGATGCTTTAAAAAAGCAAAAAGAGAGGAACAAAAAAGAAAAAAAAAACCCATGCATACTCGCATATATGAGACTCTGCATGGTTTCTGAGAGTCCCAGACAAGGGAAGATGGCTCAGAGGTGACAAGAAGCCACCTCCCCCGTAGCGAGGGTCTCGCCCAGGCCCTGGCTCCGCACCCAGGTGGAAACCCCCATCCCTGCTGCCTCTTCTCCGGCCCAAGTGAGAACTCGGCCCTGACACAAGCACCGGGAGACCTGGGCCCGGGGCCAGGCGCCGCCCGGTCTCACCTGCACCAGGATGAGCTTGGAGCGCAAGGGCGCCATGTCCGGAAACTCCTCCCCGAAGCACAGCACCGCCCTGCCGTCGGGCAGCCGGGCCTGGCTGCCGTAGAACTGCTGCAGCTCTGGAACGAGACGCGGGGGCGGGTGTCTGCGAGCGAGGCCGAGGGGCCCCACTCCCCCTGCAGCAGAGCCCGGGAGGCGCGGGGCTCAGGGGGGACCACGCAGGGTACCACGGGGCCTTCGGCCAAATCCCAACTGGGGACCTGGTGGCCATGCCCAGGGAGTCGCTGGGGTTTTTAACACCTACCGTGTTTCCCCGACAATAAGACCTCCCCAGCAGGATGTCTAAGCATGTGCGCAATAGAACCCCACCCGAAATTAAGACCCTAGTGACGGGCGCTGTCGCAGCGCGTCTGCACCCCTGCGTCGTCACGGAGTGGGGAAAAGAGCGAGCAGCCCTTCTCATCCGCCCCAGGAAGCTCATGGCTCAACATGAGAGATCGGGGCCGAGGTTCTAAAGGAAATAGAGTCGCAAGACATTCAGGATGGAATTCTGGGTTCGGAGACTGACGATGATGTTCCAGAAGAAGACAAGTATATTTGAATAAATGTAGATGATGTACTATCCTTAAAAAAAAAAACAGCAAATTCCCTGAAAATAAGCCCTACGGTGTCTTCTTGAGGAACACTAAATAGAAGACCCTGTCTTGTTTTCGGGGAAACACAGAAGATTTGATCTCTTTCAGCAGGCACAGCCTGCCCGACTCACCGCTCCCTCCTGTCTCGCTCATCTGCTCCTTTATTCCACCTGCCCAGCCCCTGAGGGCCCCTGAGTTTGCAGCCCCGAGTGAGGACGCCCCAGGAGGTCCGCAGCCCCCGCCCGGCACCTCCGACTCCAGGTTCTCAAAGTGGAGCCCGAGGCCCGGCAGCGGCAGCCTCTCCTGGTGAGGCCGAGAGAAGCGCAGCCTCTCGGGCCGGCCCGAGACCCCGGAGTCAGGGAGCTGGGGAGGTCCCGGGAGTCTGCGCCGCGTGAGCCCTTCGCCGTGCGCTCAGCCCTCGCCGCCCCTGCACCAGGCGGACCCCCGGGGCTGGCGCACCTGAACTCACACACCCTCCCGCACCTGCCTTCCAGGAAACCCTCCTCTGGGTGTGCGGCAGAAGCGACAGCAGAGGAGCCTGGCTCTAGTCGGGCCCATGGGGAACAGGGAGGGATAGACAGCGTCTCGGGACACAGGAGAGGTCACCTAACCGCCGCTCGGGTGGGAATGACAAAGCCTTCCGGGCAGCCTAACTTGTGCGCAGGTGTCACCCCCAGCACTGTTAGATGTCGTACAGAAGCCAGCGATCTCGGGACGCCACTCAACCCCCAGGACCCTGCCAAGATGCAGATTCCGGTCGCCCTGGCCTGTGGCAGGGCCTGAGCACAACCTAGCAAGCGCGCCAGGGTCCAGGGACGGGTCCCTCAGAGCACGCTCCAAGCTGCAGGGGTGACAGTTCCTCATCCTACGACAGCCCGCGAGGAAGGTGCTGACTCTGTGCCCCATTGTACGCACAGGAATCGAGGCAAGGGTGCAAGAAATTTGCGAGCAAGAGCTAAGGGGGTCCCACTACACCCCCTGCTGTCAACCCAGGTGCAGACGGAACGGGGACGGAGGCGTGGCCTTCCAGGCTCGGCACTGACCTCGGAAGAACTGGCTGGTGTCGAAGAACCTGGGCACCACGCGTGTCCCGCTCCAGCTTGTTGGGCCGGCCCCGGCTCACCACGGCGTTGCCGCCTTGGCCCAGAACACGCGCGCCCTGGCCACAGGCGCTTGCGACGAACACGCCTGCCGCGTTGCTGGTGGCAGCGCCACGGGCCCCCGCTCAGGCTGCCCGAACAGCTTCCGCCCGTCACCTGGCCTGCTGGCCGCTCGCTGGGGATGCTCGGCCGGTGGGAAGCGCACACTCCCAGGCTCCGGCCCCTACAGCTCCCGCCGCCCAGTCCCGGCCTCCCCCCCCCAAACGCCGCCCCTGTTGCGCCTGCACCAGCTTCGCCCCCCCCCTCCGAAGCTGATCACCATCGTGAAGGCCCTGCGGACGGAGGGCCGGCCGTCAGGGCGCCTCCCAGGCTCCCCCCCGCGGGCCTCACCTCTGCACGCGTGTCTTGATCTCCTCAGTGACACTCTGGGGACATTCAAGGACTTCTTCTAGAAGTTAATTCTATTTATTTTATTTTTATTTTATTTTTTTTGAGACAGAGTCTCGCTCTGTCGCCTGGGCTAGAGTGCCATGGCGTCAGCTTAGCTCACAGCAACCTCACAGTCCTGGGCTCAGGCAATCCTCCTGCCTCAGCCTCCCGAGAAGCTGGGACTACAGGCGTGTGCCACCGTGCCTGGTTGATATTTTTCTATATATGCTTTTAGTTGGCCAATTAATTTCTTTCTATTTATAGTAGAGACGGGGTCTCGCTCTTGCTCAGGTTGGTCTCGAACTGCTGACCTCAAGCGATCCTCCCGCCTCGGCCTCCCGGAGTGCTAGGATGACAGGCCTGAGAGCCCGGCAATTTTGCCTGTTCTTGAACTTTGCATAAATGAAATCTGACTCCCAGGTGTCCTTTTGCGTTGGCGTCTTTCACTCAATGTTACGTCTGTTGAGGGTCATCCTGACCTTGAGCGATCCGCCCACCTCAGCCTCCCAGAGTGCTAGGATTGCAGGCGTGAGCCACCGCATCCGGCCTGGATCCCTAACTTCTAACCCTGACAACCTCTCTTGACAACAAAGGGCATCGGACTTAGGGCGCCCAAGCCTCGGACGGGGAGTAACACTCGGCTAGAATTTGCTAATATTGTCCTAGGCTTTCACTGCATCTGCTCCGGCCCCTGACTTCCTGCTTGTACAGCTGGCACAGGGTCTACTGTCACAGGCGATGACTGTGGGTTCCCATTCAAAATAAACTTTTAAGTGTTTTAAGGTGAGGAGATTTGAGGAAAATGTGTCCATCACACACAGCCCGGGAGGAGCTGCTGTGGGCTAGGCTGACGCCAGGGCGCTCTAGCTGGGTTCCCTTTCCTGGGCAGACACCCCGGCTTCCTTTGTGCCCAGAAAATGCCACCAACACGCCCGAATGTCAACCCTAGGGGCAGCTGTCAGGAGGACAGCCGGGGTCCTGAGCGTCACCAGACTCTGCCGGGACTGTCTGGCCCTCGTCCCCTGACAGTGTCCGTGCCCCGCGCCCGGCCCCGAGCGCCCCGTACCTGAGTGGTGCGCATCATAGGCGGCGTACCCCGGCACCAGCGGCAAGCCTGCGGGGGGCGGGGGGGACAGGAAAGCGAACTCAGCCGTGTGCGGGGACCTTCCGCCGCTCCCGCCCCAGGCTCCGGGCTCGGGGAGCGCAGGCTTCTGCCGAAACAGGTGCTTCTCCCCCCTGGAGCGACGGCTCTCAGACACGGACGCCAGAGCGGGGGTGCGGGGGACTTGCTCTGTGCCACCCCGGGGCTTCTGACCGTGTGTCAGGGTCACACTGTGGGGCCACGTTCCCCTCCCACCCAGGGGCCTGCCCCCAGACGTCTCGGGACACAGTGCCCACCGGCCGGCCAGGGCGTACCTCTGGGGGGCGCCCGGGGTGACCCCGCAGCACAGAGAAAGGCCGTTCCCAGGGCCCCTCCCACGACACTGCCAACCATAGCCCGGCAAACCCCCAAGGTCCACGGGGCCAGCCACCACCTCCCAGGATGCCCCGGGGGACGGGGGCGTAAGAAGAGCTCGAGGGGGGCAGCGGACAGGCTCCCAGGCTACAGAGCCCGTGCCCGGCAGGGTCGTTTCAGGCAGCCTGGGAGCTCTGAGGGCCACCATCGGACGACGATAAAAGGGCAACCGACTCCCTCAATCCTGGTGACACCCCCGGGGGCAGGCTCTGGTGTCTCCGTTACATGGATGAGTAAAACAGAGGCTCAAATGAGCTATGCAACGTCCCAGAGTAGGATTCGAACCCGGGGCTCTGCGCAATCTCCCACCCCTGGTTGGAGTGCTCCTTCCCTCCAGACAGGCTGAGTTCTCTTTGGCCCCGGAGGGGGCCTTAATGTGGTAACGGACTGGTAGGCCTAAGGTACTGCCCGGGGACCAGGGCCAGCAAGGCCGGGGGCTGGGTCTTCCCTCCGGTCCACTAGACCCCTCGACGTTCCCAGGAGCGCGGGGGAAAAGCAGACATGGCGTCACCCATGGAATGGGGCAACCTGTGCCCCTCCTGGGAAACGGTGGGACACGGGGCCTTGGGGACGGCTGGGCTCTGCCCACGCCTGTTCACCTCTCCGGTCTCAGTCACCTTCACTGTGACACGGATCATAACAGCACCAACCACCCCAACACTGGCCCTGGCGGATGCCACGAGCCATCCAGACCACACCCGGAGACCGCCCCAGGCCCCCGCCTCACCTGTGCCGGGCTGCTGCGCCCACCAGTCCGGAAGGAGCTGACTGCGACAGGGCTCTGGCGGGGAAGGGCTCCTCTTGATCATGCCCACATAGTCGTCCACGGAAGGCTGCACGGCCAGGGGCGAGACGGGGGGACAGCTCAGCCACGGAACTCCCAACGTGGGCCCCAGTGTTTGCAAAAACGAACGGTCTGCGCCCACATACAACCACGCCGCCACCTTTGTCTCGGGAGACGAAGGTGAAGCTTCGCTTTGCAACCCGGAAGACCCTAGACTGCAAACTACTCCGGCTCAGCAACCAGCCCCCGTGGCTGAACCACCGGGCTCTTTGGGGGCCGCGGAGAGTTTACTGGCCTTTCCTGTGGAACTGCCTGTCGCAGACCGAAGGTGCCGCGTTCTCCAGGTGCCACCATGCCCTGCAGAGGTGGGCAGGTCCTCAGACACCACTGCCCGGTAACTCCCGGCAATCTCTGCCGTGCTGCCCACCACCTGCCCAAGGAGCCACGTGCAGATGCTCCCACCTCTAACCCACTCCTTAGAGGAGGCCGGTAAATCCAACTATGAGACATTTCATTTATAACAGCTGCTCTCCTCGTGACCCCGGTGTGGCAATCTGACTATCTCACTCTCTGGGCTGAGTCAGCAGAAAGGCCCCAGAAACAGCCTGGGAAAACAGGACATTGGTGGAGGGACGCCGGGCCAGGAACATCCTCGTTCCCTGCAGAGGGAGCACCGAAAAGCAGGGCCGTCGAGGTGGGTGTGGTCTGGCTATCCTAACTCTCTTACGGCCAGTAGCCCTGGAAGGATTCCATTCGATCGACTGTGCTGTTTTAACAGAAAACTACGTACTGGTGCGTCGCTCCACCTTTTGCAAGGGGCTGTGGGGACTTCATTTTAGTTGATGCAAATGTCCACCTTGACACAGGCATAAAAGAACACAGTTAGGCCGGGCACCTGTCATCCTAGCACTCTGGGAGGCCGAGGCGGGCAGGATCCAGCTCGTGGGCAGGGTTCGAGATCCAGCGCTGAGCACAGAGTGAGACCCCGCCCCCGCCCCCGTCTCTACTAAAAATAGAAAGAAGATTAATTGCCAGCTACAAAATGCATAGCAGAAAAGGGATGAGCCGGGGCGGCCCATGGAGTGGCGCATCGGCCCGTAGTCTCCAGCTGACTCGGGAGCTGAGCAGGAGATTCGCTTGAGCAGGATCTTGAGGTGGCTGTGAGCTAGAGCTGGACGACCACGCCTCTAGCCTGCGGGCAACAGACGAATAGACTCGTATCCTCACCACAAAGAAAAAACAAAGAGCAGAAAGAATACAGGTAGTCTGAAGAGGCTAGTAAGATCTATAAGAAGAAAAGAAGGCAGTGCCACAATAGCTAAGACAAACATACACAAAAGACAGCCATGACTGTTGCCTAAGAGACCTCCACGAAGCCTTCGCTTAACCAGCCTATTAACTATGCATTCACCCACAGCTCTAGCGAGCCTGCAGGTGATGCCAGCTGTCCAAGCCCCATCGGCTATAAACCTTGCACCGTTAAGAAAGCACATAGCAATCCGATAGCCCCTGTATTAGGACAGGGCTTATCTCGGCCCGACGCCCCCCGAGAGTGCGCGACGAAAGTCGAGCGTGCCGGGCCGTGGCCTTTGTGCGCTGGCCGTAGGCCTGCGGCCCGAGCAGGTCAGCCCCGCGGCACGGGGACAGACGTTTGCACCGCAAAGCGTTCACAGGACGAAAAGGGGAGAGCTTGAGCAGACTCCACCGACCATGTTGCTCAGGTGTGTATGTTGGGGGCCGGGGCCACAGGTGCGAAGCCACTCCTCGCCGCGGCAGACCGGAGGACGGCTTCTGCAGGCCGGGCCGGGGTCCCGGGAGCGCAGTCCCCACTCACCTCCTTGATCAACAGCTCGTCGATTTCCGGGCGCCCACACTCCATCTCCGAGACCTCGTTCACGCAGGCGGGAGTCGCCACGCCGAGTTTGCCTACGGAAAACCGGACAGAGGCCACGGCCATCGCTGAGGCCACAGCCCGTTCCTGTAAACGCTGAGCTTAGCGCGAGGAAACTGAGGCATCACGCGTATTGGAGTTTAAAACAATTGGTGTGAAGAACAACTTTTTTAGGTACCATGTTTTTATAGAGATTAGTGTGCTCGCTGAGGTCTGGAACGGCGCAGGCGTTGAGATTTCCTTCCGTGCTGCGGCCCGATCGCAAGTATCAGCACAGAAAATGGAAGTCGATGTCGGTGGCTTGGTAGTGCGCGGGTTTTTTCGCCTAATCACTTCAGAGGACAAAACAAGCACACTTGCTGCTGGGAGCGAGCGCGTCCGAGGATCGCTCAATGCAAGGGTCAGAGAGTTCGGACCAAGCGCTGAGCAGAGCGAGACCCTGCTCTACTAAAAATAGAAGACAAGTCCTATTATGACAACTAAAATACGTTTACAGGTATATATAAAACTATTAGCTCGGCAGTGCTAGGTGGCGGGCATGCCTGTAAGTCTCAGCTACTCGAGGGCTGAGGCAATAGGATCGCTGGAGCGCCAAGGAGTTGGATTGCTGTGACGATCTGACGCCACGCACTCTAGCCCGGCAAGCAGAGCGGAAATCTCTGATTGTCTACAAAAAAAAAAAAAAATAGACATTATGCAAATACGGCGTTGCTTTGCCCCAAGAACCGCCTGCTCCTTTTTTAACATCCACCCTTGCAGGTGAGGCCGGCCGCAACCTGGGCAACAAACAAGTCAGGGTCACCTGCCACTCTGCCACTTCGAGCTTGACTGGTGCTGGGGAGGCAGTGGAGGGCACAACGGAAACTTCCCTATTCCTCCAAATCGCAAGCTTGTTCTCTGGTGATTAACGACTATCCAACACTGGGGGATGAGGCAGAAAAGAGGACGGCCGGGCCTTGCAGAGCCAGCCCAGAGCATCGAGCAGAGGTCTCCCCTAAAAACCATCTGACGCCCCGAGGGAAGGCCAGGTTGCTGGCCTGACAGTTTATTACCGATCAGGGTTTGGGGCTCAGCGGAGACAGTGCCAGTTTGCAGACGGTTAAGCTGCAGACGCCCCACGCAGCGGCTGCATTGCCCCGGTGTGGGGTGCCTTTCTGCCCTTCCCTGACCACACACAGGTACCAGAGTCTCATACTCTCTCTCCAGCGGTCCTTGTCATCATTTGGTTCCCTCATTCGCTGAGTTAAATAACTCTCCAAGACAGGTCCGCTCTACACGGGTTCGAGTCACAGTATTAACCGATTCTTTAATCACCCACCAACGCAGTGAACGCCTGCACGGGGCGTGGGCTGCGAGCTCGGGACGGTGGCGCCGCCCTAGCAAGTGTTACGAGGGTTCTGTTTCTCTCGGGCACTACTGGACCACGAGTAAGCCTCTACGGGGAGAACCGCGGCGGGTCGTTATTCTCATTGCCCTACCGAGGGGCGAAGAACGTCGACGTGTTAAAAGGACGTTTTACACAGTGACGGTGATCAGACTTTCTGTCCTGGGTCACCGCGGGTCACCGCAGCTGCTCAGCGCACTGGCTCGGAAGGGATTCCGCAGCCAGGCCTGAGCTGGGTGCGTTCTGACTGATGAGTGATGTCTGGCCAGAGTGCAGCCCGAGGCAGCGGGGTGCGCGGCGGGGTGTTTACGGCCAGCACACGTGCTTTCTTGGGGTTTGGGAAGAGACCCCAGGAACGATGGCATCCCAGAGCTCCCAAACAACAACCAGGATCTACTGCCACGTCCAGGCGTACCCCGCCTCCAGCCACGGAGCCCCCTGGGGACACCTTCCGCAACTTCCCTGGGAAACTTTACTCCCGGCCACCCCTGGGGTCCATCCCGTCCTCGCCCACCGCACTCCCCCCCAGCCTCTCCTGTGTGTGAGCTGCCGGAACGGGAAGGGAGGCCTCATCAGACACTGTGGTTGGCGGGCCCTCACTCCCGCCCGGCGGAACTCTGAGCCCGGGGGAGGTCCGGCGCCTGTCCCGGTCTGACCGTAAGTGGCAGTGGCTACTTGCTGGGCTGCGCCCGTCTCCCCCGCCCTTCCCTCCGACCCTGCCCCGGCTCCCCCGGCCGGAAGCTGCCACTCGGACAGCAGCTGGTGTGTGAGGTCAGCGGGGAGCCACCTCCCGATCTGCTTGCACAACGGAGGGGGCTGTTTGTTTGTTGAGCTGGGGCCACGTGCCCCAGACCCCGCGTCCACCCCGGACCCGAGGGCCCCGTGCCCTGGCCAGCTCCTGGAAGGCCGCGTGGGCCCAGGAGGGATAGTTACATTTCTGCTCCTCCTCGGGTACGATGCGGTACACTTTGTACGGCTCAGAAATGTCCAGCTGGGACCGGTCGGTCACTTCCTCAAAATCCGGGCTCTTGTTCAGAGCACAGCGTAGCCTCGTCTTCCAAGTGGCTGGTTCAGCCTTGTCCCCTTCTTTAAACTTCCCTTTAAAAACTGCCCAGGCCTGAAGGAAGAAACAGAAGCGCATGACATGCACGGCCGGCCCCCGTCACAAACATCCGCCGCCATGACGACGGTGGGGACCCGGTGCACCCCCTCCCCTCTGGGAGTCTCTCTTGCTGGCCGTGGGCTCCCACTAGATTTGGGAACTCGAAGAGGCTTCGACCGGGCCACGCTCTCCCTCGACCCCTGGTGTCAGAAGAGCCAGGCCCGTGCAGGGGGCCCCAAGTTCACCCAGCTGAGCCAGAATTCCAGCCCAGGCCCACGGCTCCTCTCACACACACCCCCCTGAAGGTGCCTTTTAGCAAAGTCCTTCCCGGGATGGAGGGCCTAAGGTTAAGACCCACAAAGAGGAAGTTGTGCATGGTTTCACTAGAATGTTCAAAACAAAGAACAAGTTGCTGCTTTTTCAAACCACCCCCTAGCTGCTAACACGTAGCCCTGAAAAGGGAACATGTGCAAAAAAAAAAAGGGGCGAACTTGGTCATCCGTTGCCCTGCCGCTTTTAATAGAAATTTTGTTTTGCATTTTTGAATTTATTCTAGACTTTTCCCCAAGGCACAGATTCAAAGGCAATGACATGGTTTCCCTTTAATGGTTTTGGTGGGTTTTGTTTGATTTGTTTTAGCTCTTTTTTTTTTTTTTTTTTACTTTCTCCAAACCTTAGGATCTGAACTAGGACCAGAAATTCAAAGCTGAAATCTTTTTTTTTTTTTTTCTTTTTTTTTTGAGACAGCGTCTCGCTTTGTTGTCCAGGCTAGAGTGAGTGCCGTGGCGTCAGCCTAGCTCACAGCAACCTCAAACTCCTGGGCTCCAGCGATCCTCCTGCCTCAGCCTCCTGAGTAGCTGGGATACAGGCATGCGCCACCATGCCCAGCTAATTTTTTTTTTATATATATATATATATCAGTTGGCCAATTAATTTCTTTCTATTTATAGTAGAGACGGGGTCTCGCTCTTGCTCAGGCTGGTTTTGAACTCCTGACCTTGAGCAATCCACCCGCCTCGGCCTCCCAAGAGCTAGGATTACAGGCGTGAGCCACAGCGCCCGGCCAAAAGCTGAAATCTTAAAGTCAAAACGTAGAGCAGGGCACTGTTTTAAAAATAAGACCCGTGAATGGGCATATTTTAAGACTCCAAAATCGGAACACAGACACACCGACCTTGAGGTAACCACCGTCAGGTGAAAACTACCTTCGGTTTTAGGCAAAATCAGACAGTGCCCCTGGAGCCTGAAATAACTAGAGATCTGTAGGGAATTCTGAACTCCGCTGAGGAAAACGCAATCGCAAGGGATGAGCAACTTCGCCAGGGTGGCCGGGTCTGGGGTGAAATGCCCGTGTCCCTACTTCCCGCCCAGTGGACTTGCCACTGGTTTAATGCAAGGTTCCCCAGCTTAATGCACACAGCAGTCCCCCGGGAAGCGTGTGAAAAGGCAGGTTCCCGGGCCTCGTCCCGCGAGGGTCTCCCTGGGCGGGTAGGTGCGGGCGAGGTCTGGCAACCTGGACCTGCAGCCAGCAGCCCAGCGACTCCGGCCCAGCTGGCCGGGAGACCACGCTTGCAGAAACCCTGCAATGCCCCGGACGTCACAGCTCCTGTAAGACAGCCCTAGCTTTTCTCCTCCTCTCCAACAAGGACAAGAGTGTTTATAATGTGAGACCAGCGCTCTCTGCTCTGTTGATGCAAAAGTCTGCATCTGTGCCCGGGCTGGAAACACTGGAAGAGCATTCCCGCTAGCGAGCGTGGGCAGTGGCTTCCTTCTCAGACACAGATGTCAAACTCCTCTTTAGGACAATTCTGTAAAGTCCGTGGTCGATTCTCTCCTCTATTAACCGCACCGCCCACCAAGCATGGGCTTGGGAGCTGTCGTCATTGTTGTTCCAAAGACGTGCGACAGCAAACCACGTACTGAACGAACGGTAATTACAACTAGCTGCTACTTTAAATCAGGGTCCCTCAACCTCGGCAAGACTGACGTGTTGGATGGCATCACTCTCCTCCGTGGCGGGGGCTGCCCCGCAGGGCAGGGCGTTTAGCAGCGGCCCCAGCCTCAACCCACCAGAGGCCAGCAGCACCCCTCCCCTAGCTGTGACAACCAAAACTGTCTCCAGGCTGGGCGAGGGGGCTCCCGCCTGTCATCCTAGCACTCTGGGAGGCCAAGGCGGGAGGATCACTCAAGGTCAGGAGTTTGAGACCAGCCTGAGCAAGAGCGAGACCCCGTCTCTACTATAAATAAAAAGAAATTAATTGGCCAACTAAAAATATATAGAAAAAGTTAGCCGGGCATGGTGGCGCGTGCCTATAGTCACAGCTACTCGGGAGGCTGAGGCAGGAGGATCGCTTGAGCCCAGGAGTGTGAGGTTGCTGTGAGCTGGGCTGACGCCACGGCACTCACTCTAGCCTGGGCAACAAAGTGAGACTCTGTCTCTGAAAAAAAAAAAAGAAAAGAAAAATGTCTCCAGACACAGCCAAGGGTCCCCTGGGAGGTAAAACCGTGACCACCTCCATTGGAGAGCCACTGGATGAACCCACATTCCAAATGGACCTGGAGACGCACAGCTTTGGAAGGAATGCTACAACCTGCAGGTGCACGCCCGGAACCGCTGCGCCCACGAGGTGCAGCCACAGTCGTCTGTTCAGAGCTCACACTCGGCCCACGAGGAAGGCCAGGACACGCCGTCCACCAAACCAGGCCCCCTGGCTGGGGTGCATCCTGGCCGCCACCCCCAGCCTGCAGCCTGCCCGGAGCCCTGTGACTCAGCAGGTGCCCGTCTCTGCCGGGGCCTCTCTGGCCGGCTCCAAAACATCGGCTTAGCTGGATGACATCTCACCATCCCTCTCAAGCGAGAGCTAAAACCCGGTGAGACAGGGCTCCGAGGCCCACCCACAGCCACCGCCACCACCTTTCTCCCAGCAACGTACGGCTCGGCCCACGTGACGCTCAGACCACGCAGTCTTCCTGATGCAACTTTGCTGTCTTGCGTTTTAAACATGAAATGCTTCGAGGCCTGCTGAATTGGAAATATCTGCGCTGCTAAGTAAGTTTCAACTCATGTAGATCGATGAGAAGCCCACGCACCCCAGCCCTCACTTAACTAGACATCCCCCCACATCTTTACGAAAAGAACGCAAAAGGCTTTTGTAAGAATAAATATGAATTGATATCAGGGCCTCATCAGCGTGCTCAGGGTTGGCACAAGATGAGCTGAATCTCCAGTCCCCCGGCCGTGGTCTACACCGCAAAGCCGGTCTCAGGATGCCGGCTGCAGGCAATGAAGGATTCTCTTGCTAGAAGCCACTTCTTACGATCCACTTATTAAGGGAGGAAACAAAACTCATATATGTTTTTCTTAACTCCTAAATTTTTGCAAGTTTTTCTTGCGAAAATTGTTTGCAAGGTTTTCTTGCAAAGAATGTTTAGAAGAAACGGGTCTCTGCGTAACCAGAGAAGCCCTACGACGGCTCTATCTGAGCAAGGCCTCCCCGCCGCCGACGTCTCCCAGCGGCAAAGTTCCGGAAAGTTCCGTCAGCTCGCTGCCGCGGATCTGCGCCGAAGCCGCCTCCCCACCCAGGTGGGCACCCGTGCGCCCCTCCCGCCCCCATTCCTGCTGAGATTGTAGACTCACTTCAGATTGCCACATCGACAAACTGCGTAACCAACGGAAACATTGGGAATCTTGCACATTTTTCTCAACGCTGTTGAAACGGCCATGAAGAGCATTGCATAAGACATAAATCTGGGGCTTTATTCCGGCGGCCCTGGGGCGCGAGCTGGAGCAGGGGACGGGGTGGAGGGAGCAGCCCGCGTCTCCACCAGCGGCCGACGCCAGGGCTGCACGGCCGAGGGGCCTGAAGGTGTCTGACTGGCGCTCAACTCGCCACGGGCCCCCGTCAAGCACCCAGTGCCTCTGTCCATCCTGGCTGCGGTCAGCACATGGCAGGGCTCTCAACAGGGCAGGGGAGACTCTGCCCCCCAGGGGACATCTGGCAACGTCTGAGATGTTTCTGGTTGTCACATGGGAGGAGGGCATGCAACTGGCATCTAGTAGACCAGGCATGCCACTAAACGTCCTGCAAGGCACAGGACAGCCGCCAGCACACGGGATGACCCAGCCGTAGCTGTCAACAGTGCTGAGCGTGAGCAACTCTGGCTGTTAGGGGCATCTACGATAGTGAATCCCCGACTGCCCGGCTGGGACTGGAGCACTGTAGACATGTGCAGAGCCATTCCCAAGAGAAGTCCACCAGGATGCCAAGGGCAAGAAACACCTCCGATCACTCGGGAGGGAAATCTGCAATGGCACTGCCAACCAGGAAGCAGGCATTGGCGTCGGAGCACCTGGCGGTGCCCAGGCTTCCTGGCCTGGGGTCCTTGGTCAGAAGGGATGTGGAGGACAAGTGGGATCCACAGGACCCCTCCAGGGTGAGTGCAAAGCGTTCCCATGTGCCCATTTCTCTCGGAGGGGTCAACGACCGGCATCAGATGCTCAAAGAGTTTGGCAACCCCACATTACAGATTTAACGAGATTGCAAAAATGCACAGCCCCACGGCACACGCATCGGCCAGGAGGAGGCTCGAAGGGCTGAAATGCATCCTAACCCAACCTGGACCTACCGATGCCTCCGTCTGGGGTCCAGGTGTGATCTTGGTCACTTTTGTTCGCCGATGTCAGGTGCCAGTCATCCCTGGCTGAAAGGCCAGCGCTGCTACGGGCGGGGTCCTGCGGTCTCACCCCTTCCCGCCTGTTCAAGGTCTCAGGTCTGACTCTGGCCCTCCACGGCTCAGGCCCCACCCACCTTCCATACTCTCAGCCCCCAAATGCCACAGAATAAGCACACGTGGCACTGATTTGCAACCAAGCTCTAAGTCAGACCACCCGTGGTACCTACGTTTGCAAACATGAAAATCTGGGCTGACCTTGACCTGGGGCTCCAACCCTCCCAGGGCAAAACCTGCACGTGTGGAGCCTCGGCAATGACCACAGGTGACTCTGATGACCGCTGGGGGACTCAATAACCCGGCTGGTCTGCAGAGCTAGGCTGCCCCGGTCCTTACTCCTCTGCCCGAGTCTGGGTGCAAAGGCAAGAATGCCTGTTTCGATCAGGACCTGGGCTCCCGGCTGGACTACCTGCCCAGACACTGGCTCTGTCACTCAAGCCCTGTGAGCATGAGACCGCAGACAAGCCTCACAGGTCTCCTCCTCTCAGTGCCTCTGAGAACAGCACCCGCTACCAGGGCTGCGTGCAGGGAAAACAAAACAACTGTGCGAGGCCAGGCCTGGCACGGAGCAGACCCACCCTCGGTGCATGGTGGCTGTCACGGTGCACGCTGCAGAACTAAGTAGTGAGTCTGTCCATGCTCGACCTCCTTATTGCTCTCAAGGCAGGTAAGACTATTTGTAGACACATACAGGTTCGGGACACCCCACGAGACCTGGCCCCAGAAGGAACGACAGATGGCATCTCACCCTCCGGAGCTGGCCCTGCCATGCCAAGTGGCGGCAACAGCTTTGAAAGAGTGAAGACGTCGGCCTCCCCATGTCCCCGCGTCCCCTGGGGCAGCAGCCCGGGGGGGAAAGGTCTTCTCCCTCCCCAGGCTACTTAGTCCCCATGAAAGGGACACAGAGCAGGGAAGGAAAATGCCCTGGGCATCCTTGTCGGAAAACGCCAATAACACAACTCACCTAGAAAGTAACCAAATAATCCAACAGATGTAAAATCAGCTCATGTGCATTTTCGAGACACATTCAGCACTCTTTGGTTAACGTTCAGATTTGCACAATTGGATTAATTTGTAGGCAAACCAGAAAGATGTCACCCGACACCTCCCCACATCCCCGAGGGAAGCAGGGACCATGCTCAGAGTGGTGGGGTCGGGGGCTAAGGGGGGGGCACTACCTTGAAAATGGACGCGTCCACTTCCTGGTTATAGTCCTGCTTGCCCGCATGTTTCCAGGGGATCCGGAACATGCTCTTCTCGTCGTTCTCCCAGATCAGTCCCGGGTACATGCCGCTGTCGATCTGCTCGATGAGCCACTGCCGGAGCCGCCGCCCGCCGTTGCGGTCGCACATCCTTGGACAGACGGACAGACAGCGCCTCGTGAGTCCCGGCGACCCCGGGCACGGCTAACAGGAAGACCAGAGGTTTGCGACGAAGATGCTGGCTTGGGGCCACGCCCACAGATCCAGGGACGCCAGGACACCTGCCAGGAGCAGCCGGGAGCTGGCCTTGATGACCTCAAAGCCGGGAATGAAAACCGAAAGCTCCTCCACAGCTGGAGACCCGCAGCTGCCCGGCAGCCCCGCGCGAGCCCCTCCTCCCGCCCCTTCCAGCTTTCACAGGACACGTTCCCTTCCAGGCAGGGACGCCCGCCCACGCCCGACCCAACAGCCCCGCTGTTAGCATGACTGGGAAAATCACTATCACAGCATGAGGTCCGGACAGCCACCACGCACCCCGCCAGTCTGAGAACCGGTTTCCCGGTGCCCGGTTTGACGGATGTTTTGGGACACACCATCTGAGAAAGAGGAAGCCCTCAGGGCTGTGCCTTCTAGCTTGTTCCTTCACAGCTGACTTAAGTGATAAGGGCAGGCGTCTGGGATCCCATATAACCTCGAGGCAGGAGCTACAGGTGCCCCGCAGGGCTGTAGAAGAGGAAATTCAGATGAAGCACTGAGACGCTGCTGCCTGGACCTTAGACCTTAGACGTGACATGTCACTGTTACTATCCACACTTTCCTCCCGGAGAACTCTTACAACCCGTTGAGAGATGTGGACGAGAGTGAAGGACAAACTGTGGCTACAGAGCAAGGCACGATGGGGTCTTCCGGAAGACTCCCTCATCTAGGGACCTGCCCATCTGGGGCACCCAAGGACATCCTCTGGAAGGACAGTCTTGCCAGAGCAGGTGTCTTTCCCAGTGGCACATGAGAGAGAGAGAGCTGTCAGGCCCTGCCGACTCTCGGCCGGCATTTACAAGAACAGCGCTGGAAATCCCCCAGGCAGTTGGACAGACGCCCACCCAAAAGAAAAAAATAGCATTTCTATTCTTCTGATTAAAATGTGGCCTCTTCAGGCAGGCCCGTTTAAAACAATGTCAGCGGTGACAAGACATAACGTCCGCAAGAATATGGTCACAACCAGAGCCATGCTGGTCCAGAAAGAGAAATAACAGCCGGCAACCCTTGCGAGAAGTATGTGTTTTGGAAACTCCCGCCCCTGCAGGTGGCTTTGGGGGTGGGAAAGGAAGGGGGACAGGGGAAGGAGGCGAGGACCCTTAAGTACCAATTTTAACTTCTCCATCCGATAAACCCGGTTGCCCATTTGTGGGCTTTACAGGGGGTAAAGTGCACGAAATAGGAATTAGACATTGATCTGCAAATTCCGGACTCTGGCTGAGGCTCTTCTCTAACTGGACCTTGGGGCGTCACTCGAACCTCTCTGACGCTCCTCCACCTGTTTAGTGCAGGGAGCTGTCCCGAGAGACTCAGAATTCTACAACGGCCCATGCGTTTGTAAGTAAGAAGGGACAAATTTGGGGCAGGGAAAGGAAACACCACCACCAAGAACCCCCCAGAAAACAGACAGGCAGGGTGCAAGCTCCTGCAGCCCCTTCCCGGGGAGGAGGAAGCAGAACTCCTCCCAGCTCCAGGAGGGAGCCCCGGGGAGGAGGATGAGGGGTTGGAGGCTGAGAATATGTCGAATAAAACATTTCCCCTCAGCCCCTTGCAAGAAGGTTCTTAAAACTAGAGTCAGTGGTCCCTGAGCCTCCCGAAATCAGAAGCAAAATTGTGTGAGTGCAGGCGTTGCTTCAGGAATAGGGTCAACGCTTCCTCATCAGGATTCCTAACGGGTTGAAAACCTCAAAACTCTGAAGGACAACTGTCTTAGTGATTTATAAGAAAAAGGAAGAAAAAAAAAAAAGAAGAAGAAAGAGAAAGAGAGAAGAGTGAATCACAGGCTGGAAAATACTTTAGAAATCATCTAACCCGGCCCCCTCTTTATTCAAAAAGAGGAGAGACTGGAGCCCAGAGAGACAGAGCAAGCGCCGAGGCACACGGCCGGCCGGCTGCGCCAGAACTCACGCTGGCGCCCAACCCCGGCGGCGGCTGCTTTTACTCACTGTGCCCAGAAAAGCCACAGCTAAGTTACAGGATCTCAGCACGCAGACAGCCCTCTATCAGTGTCCTTTGCGATCAGCTCCAAGTTCTAAGTCGCATCCAAAGCCTAAGACTCTCCTACAACGCTGATCCGTAACGATTTATTAAACACCAACAAATTAATCCCACCGAATGCCCAGCCAGGAAAAACTAATAAGCCCAGTCAGTCACATGTTTATGACTTCCTCTTCCTTGATTTTGAGATAATCATCCCCTCTATTGGCCAAGTCCTATCTGGAGCTAATCTGCATCCCTATAAACTAACCCAGGGGACAGGCTTCCCAGAAGGAAGGTGACAAGAGGCTGCCCCGGGCCCACCCCATCCGGATTCCAGGGTGTCCCTGAGCTGCCGTGCAACAGAACTCACCTCCTGCCCGCCCCTCGGGGCTCTGGGCACTTGCTCCGGCTACAGGGCCCCCTCCTCACCCCTGGACTAACCGGCATGGGAGCCATTTCTCTCTCTGGCCCCAGCCTTGCCCGAGGGACTGACTCTCCCAAATCTTTCCATAAAAAGGACAAGCTCAGAACCATCACTGAACCACTAGCTCGCTCTTTTGGTTTAAAAAGAAAGTGGGGGCACTATAGGTTGGGGGGTGGGGAACAAGTTAACATTTTGGAAAATTCTGTCTCTACTTTCCATTTATAAAGCCCTTCGCAGCTCTGCGTGAGTAACACATCTCACCTTGCAAAGTCTCATTTTTGCCACACGCTGTTCTTGTGGGCTGTGACCACTCTCGGGCCGGGGGGGCCTCCGGGCTGGGATGGAGGCAAAGGACCCCACACCCCACCCAGAAATCGTAACTGACGGTCATTAACCAGAACTTTAAAACCAGCATGCCCTGCCCCCTTCGCGATCTTTAACCTCAGCAGCGCTGGGTTGCCCGGCAGGTTCGGCATGCAGCGGACCCTCCCAGCCTCGACCCTCCCAGCCTCCTCCCTCCCAGCCTCCTCATCCCACGGGGAGCTCAGGGACGCAGGAGCAGATCCTAGGACAGAGGGGCAGCTATTCCCTTCACTGCAGGAACCCTTCTGAAGTTTCCTATGCAAACCGGATTTTGAGAAAAATAAGACCATTTTTTTTTTTGGCATCACCCAGTCTTTGCGAACGAGCCAAGGAGCACGGCGCGTGCACGCTCAGCCCGGGCGCAGGCGCTGGGGACGGGGAAGCGCAGCCAGACAGCCCGGTGGCACGGGAGGGCTGCGCCAGGGCACCTGCCCCGCCGCAGGTGCATCGCGCCCGCCCGGCGTCGGGACCCGGGGCGACCGCCCTCGCGCGACGCCGGGTCCCGCCCGCGGAACGTGCCTACCTGCCGCCGCCGCCGCCTGGGTCCGCGCTCGCAGCCCGCGTTCCCACGCTCGCGGCCCCCGCCGGCGCGCCTGCGCATTTAAGGGCGGGGACGGGGCGGGCCCGGTGCGCGGAGTGACGGGCGCGCCGACCAATGGCGCGCGGGACGGGGGTGGGCGCCGCCCCACCGGCGCGGCCCGCCGGGCCCCCTTCTGTGAAGCGCCCCGCTTTCCGAGAAATGACTTTGCGCTCCGGAGTCCGGGTGGCAGCGGCCGCCGGGTCCCGCGCGTCCTCCTCCGGGCGAGCCCCGAGCCCCCTCTCCTCCTCGCACCGGGGGTCCGGGGGCGGCGCGGGCGGCGGTGGGGGTTCCCCCAGGAATTCCCGAGGGGCCCGGGTCAAGGTCAAGGTCAAGGCGGAGGATGCGGCTCGCAGGGCAGAGGTCGGCGCTGAGCGGTCCCCCCCAGGTGTCCGCGGGCGAGCGCGGCCCCGACCCGGAGCTGCGTGGACGCCCCCGCGCCGCGCCCAGGCCCCGGGAACGTGTCCCCGCGGTGCGAGGTGCACCTGCCGGTCCCCGCGCGGGACCCTGCACCCCCTGCCGCGCCGGCCCTGGGGCGGGGTCGCGTGAGGCCCCGCGGCGCTGCCCCGCGCGGAACCGTGTTGGGGTGCGGCGGCAATAATGATGCACCCCAATAATGCGCTTGTAAGAAGTGCGTCTGCGGACGGGTCCCAGGCCAGCCCCGCGGGCACCCGGGGTGGCGGGGGACGGCCCAGCTAGAATCCGGTCAGCGGCCGCCGCCAGCCGGCGTGGTGTGGTGTGGGGTCTTCTAACGCGTCCGCGCTGGAAGGCCCACGTGGGGGACCCTCGGCGTGTGTGTGTGGGGGGGGAGACCCCCGCGTGCCTGGGCCTCCAGGGTCCGGCCACCCGCGGCTGTGAACTGGCATTTGTTGTAGATACAGGAGTAGAGATGGGGGAGAACACTGGAGAAAGAAACAAGAAAGTTCTGGAAACAGAAGGAAAAAGAATTGTTTTCCATCCCATGTGCCATTCTGGGGCAGGCTTACGAATGGAAGAAAACGAGGGTCGCGGTGGGCTTTCATTGCCCAGTTGGTGCATCGGACACAGCGACAGTATTTACAGGGCTGTTTTGTTCATTCGGTTTTTCGGAGACCTGGGGAAAACGTTTGAGATTGAAAAAGAAATTGTGTTACCCCCTACAATACCAAAAGTACACTGTAAGTTTGAAATTAATAAATGTTTAAAATACAAGTCCACAAAACACGTGAACTTCATCATTGTAGTTGATGGGTCGATAAATGTTTCTCGCTGCATCTGAAAACCACAAGTTCACAAGTCACAAATCACCTGGTATGAATTTCCTGATGCCACGGATCGATCGCCAGGAATCCATAAGCAATGATACAGTGAGTTCCCTGTCGCCAAATAATTTCAGACCAAAACTATTTTTTTAAAAGCTCAAACTCTTTAAAAGCTGTTTGGAGACTGGGGGAAAGTTTTAATAAGTTTGCTGTGATGTGGGATGGATCTTCCAGAAATCAGGGTACCTGGGACCTCAGAAGTTCTCAAAGCAGCCTTCTGTATGTGTTTGTTTGCACTCATGTGTTTTCATAAATATTCCCCTCAGGCCTGCACAGATTTGCTCACTTACAAATGCTGTTTGCTGCACAAGATGTGTGCTCGGATTTCCTCTCAGCCCTCCGCTTGGATGAAGCCAGAGGTAAGCACACACAGGAAGTCAGCAGTGGAAGGGCTCTAGCGTGTGTTATTGGCAGCAGGTGTCAGTATGTACGTTACTGGAGTTGCTCACAAGAGACTGGTTTAAATGAAAACTTCTCGGGGAAGCTGGGCGTGGTAATCCTGGCACTCTGGGAGGCCGAGGCGGGCGGATTGCACAAAGTCAGGAGTTCAAAATCAGCCTGAGCAAGAGTGAGACCCGTCTCTACTATAAATAGAAATTATCTGGACAACTAAAAATATATATATATATATATATTAAAAATTAGTCAGGCATGGTGGCGCGTGCCTGTAGTCCCAGCTATTCAGGAGGCTTTGGCAGGAGGATTGCTTGAGCCCAGGAGTTGGAGGTTGCTGTGAGCTAGGCTGACGCCTCAGCACTCTAGCCCGGGCAACAGAGTGAGACTGTCTCAAAAAAAAAAAAATTTTTCTCTGGAAATCCCACATTTTCACCTTGGTGATTCCTTGCTGCCTGGGAATAATTTCTAACCTTCTCTGTTTAGTTCTGTTCTTATTTAACAGGCATTTATTGAGCAACTGCTATGTGCTCAATAGAGTGCCAAGGACAGGAGACCCAAAGGATGAACAGACGTCTTCCTCTGATCATTCCTGCCCGCATGGCACATGCTGGAACATTTCATCCTGACCTCCCTTCCTGCCTCCTTACTGCCTCCCTGTTTGTTCTACTGGCTGCTCCCCAGGGTAAGCCTTTCTGTCTTCTGGTGGCTCCCGGTGGCTGTCACACAGCCTGGCATCAAAACCCATACTTACCCAGCCTCACCACTTGCCCACGTCCGGCAGGAGCCCGTGTCTCTGTGGGTGGCAGCCTGCCACAGCAGGGTTTGGAGTTAGGCTCCTGTTCAAATCCAAGCTCCCAGATTCACTACATGTGCGACCTTGAACAAATGACTTAACCTTCCAAAGCCTCGGTTTCCTCATTTGTATAATGGCACTGATGATAATATTATCTTAAATCACGTGAAATCGCCCATATTCAACCATTCTTCACCTACAGAAAGGGCAACTTATTATGGCTCCACTTAACCATCCCTGCCCTTTAGGATGAGTAGAGATTGAAGGAGATTGTGTGTGTGTGTCCTTTCCCACACCTTTCTCATCAGAGCAAGAGGAAAGGTCTTACTGTTGCCAAATGAGAGAGAAGTCTAGAAAAATGGACACAGTGATTCTTAACTCTAGGTTCCAGCTGCCAGTCGCAGACCAGTAACAACCGGCCTTGGATGAAGAATACGAAGCCCCGGCCCCCCACACACACCTGGTCAGTTACCTGCCCCTGCCCCGCCAGGCTAGGTCTCACCTCCTCACCCGTTTCCCAGGCTCCTAGAGACCCTCACCTCTCCATGGAGTCCCTTTGTCCTTCTCTCCACCCTCCCTAATTCCTGTCTTCCTAATCTCCAGAAACCTCCCCAATCTCTGCCCTGCCCATCTGTCCTGCTCCGCCTAAATTGTCGATCTTTACGTCTCCCTGATTTCCTTCCGTGGCGGGGAGCGGATGCGGAGGTGACCAATGTAGAGCCAATTCCAGAGCCAGCTCGGGACCTAATCCTTAAGAGACCCTCCGACTCTGACAGCACCTGCTCTGGACTGGATCGTGTCCCCCCCCCAAATCCTTATGTTGAAACCCTTACCCCCAATGTGATGGTGTTTGGAGATGGGGCCTTTGGGAGGTGATGACGTTTAGATCAGGGAATAGTGCGCTTGGAAGAAGGGATACCGGACAGCATGCTCTAGCATGCTCTCTCTGCCACGTGAGGACGCAGGGAGAACCCAGGGAGAAGGCGGCCATCTGCAAGCCAGGAAGAGAGACGGTGCTGGCACCCTGGTCTCGGACTTCCAGCCTCCAGGAAATAAATGTCTGTTGTTTAAGCCCCCACAGGCTATGGGATTGTGTCACGGCCAAAGTGACCAAGTGAAAGTAGCATGACTTTTGTGCGGCATGTTGCTCATTGACTCCGGAGACCTCTTCCCCACTTCTGGCCGCATTACAAAAGGCCCTCCCCTGTCACCCTGGCTGCTTTTCCTAGTCCTGGGGAATACAGGTGGTGGGAATCCACCCAACCTCACATTTAAGGTGCTCAGAACGGTGCCTGGTTGTCACAAAGCAAAAGCTCGATAAATCTAAGAGGAGGTTGCGGGAATGGTGGATTCTACCAGGTCCGGCTTCTGCAGGGACCAGTATTCCACGAGGAGCCAAAGTGCACGAGATTCACACGTGCGGATTTACAGAGGAAACGGCTCTGAGAACCTTGGACCCTTGGCCGGACCAGAGATAAAAAATGGACTCATGAGAGGGAAGAGGGGAGGGGAGCAGTGCAGCTTCCTTGGGAAAGAGCTCACCTGTCCCCTTCGCAACGTCCAAGCCAAGCTGAGCGCTGAGACCTGAGACGTGTTTGCCAAGAGCACGGAGTCCACTCAGTCCCGCGCTGCGCTGGGTTTCTCAGGGACCGGAGCTGGGCCTCCCAGGGATTAGGACTTGGCCTCTTTGGCCACCACTTCATCCTTAAGGTCTAGCTGAAGTCCTCTCCTCTTTCCTGCTCCAGCCTTCACTGACCGGCATTCTGAAAACATTGGGCTCCAAGCTACGCCGAAATCTTTATAGCGTCCATCCACATTAACCGTATACATTTATGAATTATTTCCCTGAATTGTTCCTGAGAAAAGGGGTAAAATCGTCTTGTATTTCAGTGCTCCTACTTAACCCAGCACCCAGTTAGAAGTGCCTTACATAGACAAGTGTAAGTGTGTTGCAAAACAATGTCAGGGGCGGAAGGGAAGGAAGCGGGAAGAACATTGCTCCTCTCTGCACTCCAGCCCGTGTGTCGATTCCTATGCCTTTCTGAGCTGGGAATCCCCTAGAACACCCCTAGCGGTTCTCTGGGAGGAGGACTCATGGGACTCGGCACACAGCTGTGCTCACATCTGTCATGGATGCAGCAAAAAGACGCATAGCAAAATCAGCAAAGGCAGAGGACGTTGAGTGCGTGCATCTTTGCAGATACCATAGGTCGTTTTTAAGTGGGAAATCTCAGTAATC